ACACATAAAGCACTACCGTTATGCCTTTCATTCTTCAAGAACAATACTGTAACATTTCTGCTCCATAACTTGCGAGTTATTTTAGAACGAATGAAAATATATCAAGAATTAGACGTCGCTCATAAATAAAGGTCTAAATGATTTTGATACGTCTGACTTCTAAAGCCTATGGCGGGAAATAGCAGAGGTTTAATAAGGGCATAAAAATAACGAAAAACAATTTCAACTTGGCTCTCTTCGATACCAATTAAGAACGTACCAGAAATATTATTAATAATAAGTGTGAACTGCTATGAAGTGTAAAAAAAGTACCAAAAATTAAGAAGGAGTAAAATATAATTTCTTATGTTATACTGTAGGTATCTATTCCATACATAAACATGATTGTAAGTCAAACCAACCTTGTTAATTTATGGTGCTTTGTTATTTTATAGAGTAACATGTAATTGAAAGAGTAATTTAACATTGAATAAAAAATAAGATTTTATGAAAAAATATTTTTATTTTTACATACCTAGTACTCATAAAGGATTATAAAGGAATATGAAAATTTCGAATTATACATATAATAGATTTACTACTTTTATTTTGTTCTTCTTTGTTATTTTTATCAAAAAATTGATTTGATAGTTTTCGTTAGTATTTTTGTGATTGAGAACCAGCATATAAATATTATGTCAAATATAAAATTTATACTTTGTAGAATACGCCTGCACAAAAATAAAAGCAATATTGCGTGTAGTTTATATTGCTTTACATGTTTGAATAGGTTTAGTTTAAAATAAATATGTTCATATTTTTGAATCATTAACACACTTAAGAACTTTTAAGAATTAAATTAATTTAAATATATTTATAAAACAACACTTTCCACGTTGTTCCTTTTTATATAGGTTATTATTATTTTATTTTTTATACGAAGAAGGAGGCAACCGAGCAGATGACCTACCTGGTGGAGGTAATACCGTCGTCCATGGACATCCGCAACATAGATTTGTGGATGCGTTACCACCCTTATTTAGGGAAGAGGGAGAGGAAAGGTTGGGAAAAGGGAAAGGGCAAGAAATGGTAGGAAAAAGGAAAGGGCAACCGTCTCTCTCACTCACCGGACGAAACGCAGCCATTAAAAGCTACTTCACGCCGATCTTCTGTGAGAAGGTGGTACTTCCCCGGTCGAGCCAGCCCATGTTCAAGCCGCAGTAATTTGACCACAGCTAAACTCTACCACCTTTATGGTTAGGTTATTCGACAATTTGACTTAGTATGAATGAAATTAAAGATTTTTCGTACGGTAGCTCATAATTTTGCTGTGAGCCCAAATAAATGACAATGAAAATGGCTCAGCGGGTTATAGAAAATCGACAGAAACTGCAATTTTACTCCAATAAGATTTTGGATTGTGTTTATTTTTACTGGAAACTTTTCATAAGGAAGACGAAACTACTCAGCATTCCATGGATTCACCTTGCGGGTGCCGGGTCCATCGCGTTGCAGGGAGAGGAGCTTCAACAGTGCCTGGGACTTGCGACCCAAGTGTAGGTTTAAGGGGCCCCTTAACCAACGCGCGTTATACCCTCACCTCCACTGTCCAAGCTCCTCTCTTTGAAAAGAACCTACTAGGGCTGCCTTCGATATACGTTCCAAGAATGCATTAATGTGAGTTCTGGACAAGCCCAAGTCCTTTAGTAGGTATTTATTTAAAATACATATATGTAAATCTTAATATGTTTATTCTTTTTAGTCTCTTATTTTGAAGCAATTAACACATCAGTTTTAAGATTTATTTTAAATTAGTACATATGAGTAGGTATAGTTTTTGTTTCAATAAATCTCATACTTCATAATTTTTTATTCATTCATATTCGATAACATTGTGGAGAACAAATGATTTAATTACTTAAACGACGTTAGTATTGATAAACTTTGAAGGGTAATCTTTGTACATATATAGAACTGTTTTATAAGGTGTAATAAATATACTATTTAAGTAAGAACCGTTGTTAAAATTGAATAAAAAATATTGATAGAAAAAATATAATGTATTAATAAAAACATATACATATTAATTTAAAACAATAGTTTAAGTATACTATAATATTAAGGATCTACAATATCCACAAACAAATATTAAAAAGGAAGCCGATATCCTCTTTCCGTTTGTAACACCATAAAAGTACTATAGATAAATATATTACATTTACACATTTGCCAGTAAATATTTTTGTTCAAACACACACTAAAATGGATTAGTTAGTGTATTTAACTTAGCGTTGAAAGGTTAATGTTTAAAGAATTGTTATTTGCTTGTTATTAAAGGTTATTTACGAATAACTTATATTTTAATATTTATGAGTATTATAAGTTAGTGGTTGCCTAGTGGTTAAAAGGCCCGCCTCTCATGCATGAAAGCGCGGGTTCGATCTTGGCCCGGGCAAATACCAATGTCATTTTTCCGAGTCATATGTATGTACTTTCTGAGAGTATGTAGACTTCGCTGATTAATGTATTCCCAAGAGAGGGTTGATGTCAGGCAGGCAGCCGATGGTAAAACAATTAGCCAAAACTATTCACAACATGTAAAGCAGACCCTGGCTAAAGCTGGGGAATTGCCAGGTAGAAGAAGAAGAAGAAGATTTATGAGTATTTTATATATTTTCATGATTTTCATAGCTTTTTCTATTTCCCGTAAGTTTCAGTCAAGCTCAGAGTAAGCTTGATGTTTAACCTTTACAAAAACCTATGAAATTATGTGATATTAGTATCACATAGTCTTACTTTCGCAGACCTGATTATTCCTCTCTTAAAAATTCTGTTTAATTTGTAATTAGACGAAACTCCAGTGATTTTTATTGAATAAAACATTGTTTATACTTAATAAGAGACATGACTACATGTTATTGATCAAGGATCATTCAATGGTTGTGTAATTAATGAAAGTATCCGATTGCACATTGCGATCTTGAAAAAGCCGATATAAGGAATAGTGGGTATGTTATATTTGTTTAAAAAAACTAGTTCACATACATATAAATATACAAAAAAGTAATTTTATATTTAAATTTTATTAAGTATGCGAGTTATTAAATTTTTTGTATATTTTTACAAGTTTATTAATTTATTGAGAAATGTTTCATAGCGTAGTGAAATGTGTAAGAAAAATTATAACTAAAGACATTGTGATTATACTGTTCAGAACATTTTATAACATATTGAAAAAAAAAAAGAAAATTATGTCTGTGACTGTATATTTATAAATTTATTATTATCTACTTAAGAACAAACATATATTTCTTTTATTTCTTGTTGAAGTCGCTATTTTAAGATTTGGAATAAAGAAAAATTACAAAAGAAAGAAAAAGATTATTTATTTTGCAGTTTCTTTTTAAGCTGTTCCCAAATTATTTACTAAGAGATGTTATGTATAGTCCAATTTTGCATTATCACACTAAATACGAAGCTTTGCCCGTTTCTCACTCATACTATATGGTAAAAACTGTCATAGCTACGTTTGTACTGTGACGAAGCCAACTCAGTTTAAACATACTACCTTCCAAGTTTAATGATAACCAAAAATGCCATCCTTTGGTAGTGATATTAATATATATATTTCGCTTCCATCTTACAAGACAGGAGAGGAAAGAGGCATGCTTCATTATTTTTACGTGAAGGATTTGTCAAGGTGACTCCAAAATATAGAGCATTGTCATTACATATGAAGAATTCCTTGCTTTTACCTTGCCTTTTCCCTATTCCCTCCCTTCCCTGCTATTCCTTTTTCCCACCCCTCCCTTTTCCTCAACAATTAATTGGCAACGCATCCGTAACATCTATGTTGTGGATGTCCATGGGCGACGGTAACTACTGACCATCAAGTAGGCCGTCTGCTCGTTTGCCACCTTTGACATAAAAAAAAGAATCTTTTACTCTTGACAATATATAGTACACGCAGTATTGAATATTTACCAGTTTTTCTAATGACAATATTCTTTCTACATTCTTTAAATTCTTTTTTTATTCACATAAATTTATTATCGAATATAAAGAAAGATTGCGGTGTCAATTAAAAATTTAATTGTTTTATTACAGTTGAGTTAATACAATGAGAAATTGATTAACATTCTCACCTTTTTCAAGAACATTTTGATTATAAACAATGTATTTGATTCATTAAATTAATACAATGCGTTACTATTTGTAGTATTATCTTTTTAATCTAATTTTGATATAAGTAGTTATTCGTTTATAATTTTCATAAACATGTAAGTTATAATATAAATTATAAATTAAGATATATATAAATAAAGTTTAAATTAAATTTGTGCTCAAAATTTCCTCTAATTTATTATGATCATCATTAACTCTTAACCGATGTTCCTTCAGTCATTTAGAATCCAATCGCTATGTTCTTATAACTTGGACCAAACCCTAATATCCTTATCACTAGTCTGCTTTCCAAACTAAATACTGACAGTCATCAGTTTTCACCAAATATGTGTTCGTTCTATCGCAACGATGTTTTTAACTATGAAGGAAACATTTTAAATTATCCTATTTAAGTTGATGATGCAAAACAAAGACTAAAATTACAGACGACCAAAGAATTATGTGGATACAGTTTTTTCTCATTCCATTCTTCGTTGTTGATTAACTGATTATTTCTCAATAACCAACATATTATGCCTGTTTTATACACAATCTATATTCAATGATATTATTTTCTAGACTCAGCCACCAGCGAGGTCAACATTGATTTATAATTGGTATCATCCATTTAGTTTTTTATTTGATCAATTATAATAACTAGTTTTTAATTATATTTTTTTATATAAACATAGTGTTTAATATAAATACTATAAATAAATTAAAACGAACGCGCCGTAAGTGTCAAGATAGTAAGAAAAAATGAAAGGACAAAATGTTTTTTACAGCTATATAAGGAGATCATTTAACGTTCAGACATATTTGACTCTGGACGTATAGACTATAGGTTGGTGATAGTGATGGAACTGGTGATGATGATGGATTTAGTGAATATGTTGGTGATATGTATATTGGTGATCATCTGTAGTGGACACTGTATGTACAGCAATAAGGAACTTGAAGGTTATCCGGCTGGCTTTATGTCGGATTGTGAGTACAATTATATATGTATATATATTCAAATTCATATTAAAATATAATATTATTGTTATCTAAGATTTTCGCGAGTATTCATTTAAATGAAACTAATATTATACTAGCATCACGTCTGCTCGTGATCACGGTTGCTGAATAGTAACTGAAAAGTCGAGAGTATGTAGTTTCAAATTAATAAAATACGTATAGTTATCCGAATAATATTAGTTTCATTTAAAATATTATGTTATATAAAAAAGGAACTTATAATCGGCTTAATAATTCGCGATTTCGATTATTTTAATTAGGAATATTATCGGCTGTAATTATCGTTATTTGAAAAAATATGTTTAAGAGTACTTAGCTTTATCAATTGAGATAAATCGTATTATTTTAGAAGAAATTATATACATTTATTGATGGTAATTTATTAATTATAATCAATGTATTTATTAGTTAAAATCTATTTAAAATATTCCTTGGACTCCGTTAATAGCGCAGACCTGTGACCATATATAAATATAGTCTGGTTCATAAACATAAATTGAAGGCTTTTATCATAATTATCACACGTTCCCTTGAGCTACTTCTGTTTTGCTAAGATACTAGAATAATGTCAAACTACTTAGTATCTTTGATATGGTTGAAGTGAACTTTGAACTGGGTTCAGAAATTTGTGCTAAAAATATGTATTGTTACAAACTAACGCCATCTATTGTTTACGTCACGTGACTATATAAAATATAGGAGATATGAGATATTCCCGCTAGAACTAATATAATATGCAATGTAATTTTTGCGAATATAATCGTACGAAATGAGAAAATACATTTGGTTAGGTAAAGAGAGGAGCTTGGACGGTGGAGATGAGCGTTTAATGCGTTAGATAGGGGTTCCTTAAACCTACACCTGGGTCACAGATACCAGGCACTGTTGAAGCTCCTCTCCCTGCAACGATGGACCCGGCACCCGCACCGTGAATCCATTGAATGATGAAAGGTTTCGTGTCTTTAATGTTCTTATTGCTACATTTTTTTTTGCTCGTAGACATTTAAATGGCGTCATGTTATAAAAAAGAAAAAACATAGAAATTGTAGTGTGCATTTTTTTCCTAATCAAATAAATTGTTCTAATGATTAACGATGTAATAAATTATTATAAAAAGCGGATATTTTATACTATCAAGGTTAATTTGTTATGACATACTACAACAATATTCTACTAGTATTAACAACACTAGTTACATGTGCAGGATTCGAACCTACTACCTGAAGAATAAATAAACTTTTTTTGGTCCTACGTTATGTTTAATATATATTTAAAAATTGTATGTATAGATTAGGTACCTGATAAGTAAATATTTTAAATATATGTATAAACTATATAACAAAATGATTTGATATGGTTCGTATCTTGAAAGAAATTAATTTCCTATAATCATTTCATTGTTACAGCGAAGTAATTTCTCTAAAAAATTCAAGCCGTTTTTTTTCCTTTTTAATTGATAATGAATAACTTTTTGTTCTCTAGATAAAAGTCATTTGGCTTATAATTTCTATGAAAAATTATTAGTATCACCCTATTTGTAGAAAAGTTTATGCTTAAGACTAATTGGCATCGTACTACATACTACGCAGCGTTTCCCGTTTCTCATTCAATAACCTAGGTTAATACAATGTGCGAATATTGTAGAGTAAAAAACTTAACGGTCTGTATACATACATGTACATATATTACCATGATCTTGGCTAAGCATACTGATTCCTGTATTGTATTCAATGTATTTCGTATATTTATTTAAAATGACATAGACCATAGGCAAAAAAGACTTAAAAATATAGAGCTTGCACATTTTTCTGTTTGCCAAAAAATAAAAATAACAATATTAAATTCTTAATTTTTGGACTAATACACCTGTAAAAAACTCTTTAACCTTGGAATGGTTTAAGTAGTATTAACTTAACAATGTACATATTGTACTTCCGTTTGTATATACGTAATATACAAATATTTTGGACTCTGTAAACACAAATACTTAGTAACAGTCGCAATAAATACTAAGATAATATTCAAAAATTTAAAATTACCTTCATATTTCCAGGCCCCGGTTTAGATAAGGAAGCTATCATCACGAAGAGGACTTTAAAGAACTTATCACTGACGATAGTTGACACGAGCAATCCTATGAAAGAAATACGAAGGAAATATAATTACTATCAAATGAAGGAGCTGGCGAAAGATCCGTTGTTCGACTTTAACAAACGTACTATGCTTTACATCGGAGGTTTTCTAGACAGTCCTAACTTTCCAATACCAGGAAGAGTAGCAAAAGTCTACAATAATATAGGATATAACGTCTTGTTATTAGACACCGGGTATTTTACGACATATGAATATCCACGGTAAGGTCCTTGAATGATGTTAAAAACATTTTTAAACTTCGTTTTATGACGAATCGTAAAACTTTGGTTAAAATGATTTATTACTGATGAATGTAATATTTTTAAAAAACATCGAAATCATTCTTTTATATTAAATTTCCAGAGCATCACGTCTAGTTCGCCCCGTCGGTGTACACGGAGCGAAGATGTTATTCGAACTCACAAAAGAAGGTCTAGATCCAAAGAAATTAGATGTAGTTGGACTCAGTCTTGGAGTTCACACGGCCAGCTTCATAGCCAAAAACTTTAGACTAAAAACTGGAATGAATATATCAAGAATAACTGCGTTGGATCCTTCAGGACCTTGCTTTAGAAATCTAGGCCCAGAAGAAAGAATCGACAAATCTGATGCCGATTTCGTTGAGCTGATTGCCACTAATATAGATGGCTATGGAATGGCAGCACCTGTAGGTCATGTGAATTATTATGTTAACGGCGGAGAGTTTCAGCCTGGAGAAATAGTTTGGTTCTTATGTATGTCCCTGTGTAGTCATGTACGATCTTACATGGTGTGGCTGTCAGCTCTGCAGAACCCCAATTCATTTATCGCCATGCAGTGTGACTCTGTACAGCAAGCAAGATTCAAGAAATGTCGGGATAGGAAACCTATGGTGACTAATTTGATGGGATTAAAGGTGGATAAGAAAAAGGAAGGCATATTTTATCTAGCCACTTCCGCTAAATATCCTTATTATTTAAGTGAGAGAGGCTTGAAACAAAACTCTGATTTTTTTAAGTCATTAGCAGCGTCATTTAACAAAGAAAAACTTGTTAAAGTTAGATGAAATTTTAATTGCGTTTTTTTGTAAGAGCGCCATCTACGTTGTTTAAATGAACTCCCAAAGTTGTTTTTTAAGTTACACGTTTAAGGCACATTATAGTTTCAGTATTGTTTCCTAGGTGGCAGTGTTTTTAATTAACACATTGTAAGCTTATTTTATTACAGAATAAAAGTGAATGGTGAGTGAGGCAGTAATGAGGTTTAAATATTTCTTGGAGGTTTTATTTACATTCATAATAAACTGAAGCTACTTTTCAGCATAAATATTTTAATAATTTCAAACCTTACAATACCGTTACTTTGAAATCGTCAGCTTTAATTTTGAATTATATGATGTATATATGTACTATATATAGGTATATAATATAATTATATAAGTCATCAAAATGGGCAAAGAGTTTGTCAAAGTTTCCTCATTTAAGACACTCTTTCTAATCATATGAAGACCAAGTATTTGACAATCATAATTCATAAGTTATAGGTAGGTATTATTTTCAAGCAAAATATGGCACTCGTCAATATTTTAATGTAACCCATAATTGAGGAACTTATATTATTTTATAGATTCTAAAAGTCTATATGGCCTTTGAAAGCTTTATTTATTGTTATTATCGGTATTCAGTAAAATGTTTGAGTGCTTAAAACAATTACAATACCATTTAAACGATATTAAATTTATGCAGCTAATAATGTCTGTATTGTATTGATTTTACCAAAATCAAGTAGCGAAGACTTAACCAGCCAACCTTTTTTTATAATATTCCTATTTTCTGTTGCCAAACTCTTTATTTAAAAGTTTATTAATTAAAAGCATCATAGTCGATATGATATTTCAATTTGATTCAATTACTTTTTTTACGTGATTATCGTCTGATTTCCAATAAAAAAATAATGCATTATCAAAAAATAGTTAGAAGGATATTTTTGAAAACTAAATTATTATTTCGCAACAATTAAACAATCGTGAATTTAAACCATAATTTTGATGATCTCCGGTATGATAATAATTCTTTTACATAAAAATATGAATAACCGTGTTTATAAAATGTTAAAATTATTGCTATGAAACCAACAGAGACTTAAAAATTTATTAATACCTAAATATTAAACACATCCTTCGGTTTTTTAATTATACAACTAAAGTTGCTTGTTTGAATAATAACCGTGAGTTTATTTAACCGGAACATAATATATTCTATTAGAAATGTTCTAATCCGTGCAAGGTCAACAGTGGTATATTAAAACGCATTTAAATCTGCAAACATCTGCTTACCTGCCGGCCGGCCATTCTTTGTTTGGTTCACTCATTATGCTAACTCGTCAATAGATGGCAGTAGGGTCATTACAATGAAGTATTTGGACAAATTGTGATGGTTAGCTTACCTCCATTTTGAATAATTAATGTTTTAATTACAGCCGTATTCGAATTAGGATAAGGGTTAGTTTGTTATAAATAGAAGGGTATGTTTTTTAATGGACGGGGTCAGTGAGCGAATTGTTCTGACGTATTTAGATGGTTTCTATTGAGAGATTTTTTGTCCATGAAGCTGTGGACACCTGGACCTCGTTTCTATATTATTATTCATCGGCGACATGACAATCTGAATCATCATTTCGTATCTGGTGCTCGTTCGTACTCTTTAATATCTTATCATTTTAGTACATTCAAATAATTTATTTAATTAAATTTTGTGAGTGATAGTATATTGATTATATTTCAATTGAATGCTGTTTCTAAATCGGTGCGTATTTTTTTTATAATAGCTTAAAGTCAATTAAAATGGAAAAATGAAAAATATGAAAATTATCTTACGTTATTTTTAAATATGTCTAAAGAAATCTTACATACATACATTAAGATTTTTTCGTAATTAATTTCTTTAAAACGAATTTTCAACTATTCAAAAGAGTTAAAATTAATCTTATTTATAAATGTTTTCCAATTAAATCCTTTAAATAGGGCAAAAACAATTTCGTTTCTGAACGTTTTTTGTTCTGTCTATCTTTGAATCAACATTATTTTACTTACGTCTGTAATAAAGAACTCAAGGATTTTCTACATTAATTATGATTGATGATTTATTAAGTTCAGGAAAAATTTTGTTAGGTAGCTATTTTTTGGAAAATAAAAAATACAGTAATTTGATAATTACTTTGATAAGACGTGTGACTGATGAGTTATTTTGAAATGAATAAAACTATTTCTTTAAACTCAAAAAAAAAATTATTAAAAATCTTGTTTAAATTAATAACTTACAATAAAAAATATGTTCATCTTCCTTTTACTATGTTTACTATCTGTTTGTATATCACACTACATACGGAAAATTTGAAGTTTTTCGTTTCATAAAACTTCGCTCGTTATAGTATTAATGAAGATTATTTTAAATACACCGAACACACGTAGTATGAAGATGAAACTTGTGCTAAGAATACAGAATGCTTAGTGCGATTGCTCTAAATATGTATATAATACATAATATATGTAAAAAGAATAAGGTTTACATTAATATGTTGAGAGAAGCTACAATAAAAGTAGTTTAATTTTTTTTTGTTTTCGAAACTAATATTTATTGGAAATCCTTAATGGGTTTATTTTATATCTTGGTTCAACTTTGTTCTTCGTTTTTTCAAAGATAACAGTCGTTTAATAATCGATCTATCAGTACTTTATTTGGCGGCATTGGTTCGACCATTACTACTGAAATTTCAATTTAGTTAAGTTCACAATTTGTGTAGCATATTTTAAAATTCGGAGCTGTCAATGTCTGAAAATAAACATTTTTGACAATGACATAACTATTTTCACAGAGTAATTAAAAAAAAACAAACACAACAAACCTACTTAGAGTAATTTGTTATATAAATGGATGTGTTGTTATATCATTGGAACTAAAAGTTACAGATAAATATCGATAAGTTTTTGACAGTTTACACAGAGACCAATCGCCGTGAGCCCGGTGCTGATACACCTGCCTTAATTATGTTGGTTCGATTAAAGTTGGCCGGTTGGCTAATATTGGAACACTTTCTCAAATGTTGAGGTGTGAAATTAATTTACAACATCCTTATTATTTTTATCTGTACTACCGTATTTATACAGACTATACACATCATTTTGCTTAATATTTATTATCTGTGGTAATTCTCTTTATATATATTAAAACTATTTATTACTTATCTATTAAATCTTTGTCAACTTGACGTGTTCTATATTAATACATTGAATCAATGACAGGATATTAATCTAGTAGTGCGTCAGGAAACGGATGGCAGGTAGGGATTTTAATTAATTTACTGTATAACATACATGTTATGATACATTAACATATACATATATATACTTAGATATTCGTGAGTAATCATATAATAAGTTGATATAGTAATTACCCTTCTTTATTATATCAATCTCAAAGTATACGCCTTCAAGTTTTAATAATTTTTGTCTCCGATATGTAAATTATTTATTTACAAATATAAATAAGTTTTTAACAAAGTAATATTGTATAGTATAGTAGGTATATTCAAATGATTCTGTTACTATATTGCTAATACGAAATGAATATTTGAAGAAAAATAATAAAACCTATACGCTAATTAGTAAACAACATATTAATATGATAGAATTTTTTTTAAAATAATTAAAACTTACGTCTGACACCCGACAAGACAAAACATGTCATAGTAATTCGACTTGATTTCAATGAATTAATCATTAATTATGTTGTTAAATATAAGTTTATATTAATAAAACATTTATTCATAAACCTCTTAATATATATATATATATAATTTCTTCAAAGCCACAGAATTAAGAAAGTTATTTCCTGTACTAATAATTTACCTACAAAAAATTTACCAACTTAAAAACGCTATGTATATTTGTAGTTTTATTCTAAATAAATATACATGTATATAAATAAATATATGTCATATAAATATACTTATATTTAAATTTCGTGACGTATATATAATTTTTATTTGAATAAAGTTTGTTTTATATTCGATAGTGATGTTATCATATTAATAAGCATCACAAGTCATATTACCGGCTGTTAACCCGAGACTTACACGCCTCGTTAAATTATGTTTTTATTAATATATGTATTTGTTTTTTATTATATTTATGTATTAAATAATTATTCATTGAAATCAAAGAATTTTATTACATGGAAGTTTTAAAATTAAAATTATGAAAGTACGTAATATTATTTAAATAGACTTTTATGTAACTTCGAAAAGAAGTTAGTAAAAAAAAAGTTTTTGTATTAAAAAACGATATTTTTTAAAAGTAATATTTATATGTAAGTATAATAATTTTGTTTTCATAATATTTTTAACCGTAACTTGCTGTTAATATTAAATTTGACGGTACATTGTAGGTAGCTGTCAATTATGTGCTCTATGGAGAGGTCAATTAATAAACGAAATTTGTGTTATCTATGAGTGACGTCACCGTCGGGATGACTTCCGGCCGGAAATTGCGTCGCCAGAACATACTAGATTTTTAATGCCAACCTCCTATAACATTGGCTGTATGGACTTTATGTATTACACTATTTACTTCACTCAAAATAATGATGAAAAGTACGAATCAGACATGTATTTTAATGTAAATATGCAGATTTTTAACCAATAACTATTTTTAAATAATATTAATTAAAAAATAATAATACAAGTGTGAAATACAATCAAAATACAAATTATACTAAATAATCCAATTATTCAATTTAAAATAAAAAATAACGATGAAAGAAATCAATTTTACAACAATTTGCCAAAATAACTTTGATCGATTTTATCAATTATTTACTTATACTAAATTATCTTTTGTTATATGTCTGTCTTTTTAAAAGACTGTCTGTTATTTATTTAGAAAAGGCGGAAAGATTTAGAAGTTACATTACTGTTCTAACTATTTTATAAACGTTACCTTAAATGGGCTTTTAACAATAAGTACATATGTTTAAATTATTTATCAATAGAAAAATTTTCGATGAATTT